CTTCGTAAAAGCTCTAGAGTTGTTCTGTCAATACACAGCCTTTTAAATTAATATGTAAATTAATTATAATAATTAATTCCTCAGTTGCACGAGCCACAGTTCAAGTGCTATAGCTACTCCATGTGGCCAGTGGCTACTGTCTTGGACAGCACAGATATAGAACATTTTCATCACCAGAGAAAGTTCTATTAGACAATGCTGCTCTAGAAAATTCAGACTAAAAAAAAAAAAAAAAAAAGAGAGAGAGAGAGAGAGAGAGAGAATACAGAATTCCAGGCCATCCATCATTTCGGTCTTCAGGGGTTGCTGAAGGGGACAGAAGCTTGGCTGTGTTGGAAAAACCCCTCAGTATATGCAGTGGGTTCCCCAGTGATAATAACAATCTCTATTCCAACCCCTCCCCCCCCACCAAGATGCAAGAGCTACCCTTCTTTGAAGGTTCTAGAGTAGTGATGCCCAATATGGGTCTCACTGTTTCAGCCCTGACAGCCAACTCTCCGCATCTGGAACCTGATTTCCTAGGGGCCTCAGCTGTGGGAGGAAGGGGCCTCATCGTCCCCCTTACCAGATCACGTAGTCATTTGACAAGCCTTAGTGTGGCCTTCTCTGCACTGACAGGACTTGCATTCTTAGGGATGAAGCCTGAGGCCCCTGCCCTGAGTGGGATGGGGAGACATAAATGGGTCCTTCCGGTCACGCATGGAGGTGGCAGGCCTACGCTGTGCCTTGAGGTCAGACTGGCCTTCTTGGAGAAGGGGATAACTGAGCGGAGACCTGAAGGGTACAAGTGTGGCCTGGGGAGCTGAGGGGAGCCCCTAGTGATACCCTAAGAGTCAGCTAGTGAGATCAGTAAGGCCAGGTCAGGCTGGGCCCAAAGTATCAGCATTTGCACCTGGCACTGGGGGGCCGGAAGGGGCTGGCACCGTGGAATGTGAGCAGCCACCAATTTGGAGAGGATATGGGGGGAAGACTGGGTGAATTCAGCTGTTGGTGATTTCACGCCTCCTCCTCAGTCACTTCTTGGGGACAGGCCCCAGCTGTGGGGCCCAGGTGCCAAGGAAGGTCAGATTTCGGCAGCAAGAGAATAAAAGGAGATTTCCTTCAGAGGGGAGCCTTCTCCCCCAGAGAGAGCTGCAGCTGCCTCCCTTCGGGATTAGGCCAAATCCTACAGCAGGTGGAGGGCTGGGGTGGGGAGGGGTCTCCCATCCCACTGTGAGTCTGGAGTGTGGGAAGAGGCAGGCAGTGTGGCTGAGTGTGCACACCTGGGTGCGTCTGTACCTGGGAATGGGTCTCCTTCATCTCTTCATTCAACACTTTACTGCCCCTCAGTTCTGCCAGGTGCGGCCCTGGGTGGGGATTTGGGGGACAAGGACAGTAACCACTCAACTGGATCTAGGGCTATAAAGCTGAGTAGCGGGGGATTCAGGAAGACTCAGAAAATGGGGCAGCTTCCCTTGGGAAGCCAAGAGAGTGCGTACTGGGGGGTTGGTTTTCACTGAAAACCTTTTGTGACATTGGAGTTTTTGTTGAGTTGTTTCAACCTTGAACATGCGACACCGCTATAAAAACCCTGTTTCCCAAAGTGTGGCCCCCAGGCCAGCAGCTATTCTCCCTGAAAGTTTTCAGGCTCTGCCTCAAACCTACACAATAATAGATTCTGGGGTGAGACCAGCAGTCCAGGGCCTCCAGGAGACTTGGAAATATGCTGAGGTTTCAGGACTGGATGCTGGGGTCCTGAGTGTCTGGCTTTCAGTGCTGGCTTTCTGTGCTGTATTTGCAAGAAGGAGACCATGAGAGCACCTCTGAATAGGGGTCTCAGCCTGCAGGGGGGGTCCAACCTGGGAGGGACCCTAGGGAGGGCACCCCGAGAAATGAAGTTTGTGTGACACTTAAAAGGTGAGGAGAGCGTGGCTCAGTGGATTGAGCATCATCCCATGCACCAAGAGGTTGCCGATTTGATTCCTGGTGAGGGCACATGCCCGGGTTGTGGGCTCGATCCCCAGTAGGGGGCCTGCAGGAGGCAGCCGATCGATGTTTCTCTGTCATCGATATTTCCATCTTCTCTCTAAAAAATATCAATAAAAACATATATTTTTTAAAAAGGTGAGGAGAGGGAGAGCTTGTCCAGGTGAGGGGAGAGGAGTGTTCCCCAGAAGGACCAGCCCACCCCTGTGAAGGCCCTGAGGTGGCAGGAACCAAAGGCCGTGGGCTGGAGCCCAAAATACTGGGCTCAGTACCTCTGTGCTTGTGCCTGCTGAATGTCCATTCACCCTGAGTGTGGACACTCCATGAACAGATGTCCCTGCTTTTGCAAACCCAGCTCCCTGGTCCTTGGAAAGGCCAGGTGACTGGGGCTACAGGAATGAGCTTTGCGGTAGGACGGGGCCCCTGGTCAGAGGCACCGACTCTCCCACTTTCTCCTGTGCAACCTCGGCCCAGTCACCTCCTCCTCCTGAGCCTCAGTTGTCCTTATCTGGGCAGCAGGACAACAATGCCTTCCTGTTGGGGCTGCGTGAGGAGGGAATAAGATCCTGGCAGCCCCGCCCTGAGGCCATTCCCTCCTAATCCCAGTTGTTGACAGAGCACTTAAAACCACTCTCCAGGCGTGGCAGCATTCCTGTGTTTCAGGCTCAGAGGGTAATTTCGGTCATAGCAGCCCCCCTTCCATGCTGTGACCACCTGACCTTCCCTACCAGCAGCCTCCTGTCCCTGGACTCTGGCTCCCAGATAGCAGTGGCTGTCTATCTGATGCTCTCATCAGAACCCTGACTGATACATTGCAAGTGGCAAAGTCCAGAGTGACTAATGCTTCTTCCACATGGTCCTGAGGCCAGTGTCACAGGCTAGACCACTCCGAACCCAGACTGACCAAGGGGCCCGGGCTCCAGCTGCTGCGGTGCTGCCCGGAGCAGGCTTGGGGGCGGGGAGAGGAGGCAGCCGAGCTTGCACGGGAATTAGCAGCATCTGTCTCACTCTTACATGCGACATCAGGAATGTGGAAGGGCCCTAGCAAGTGTGTGCCTGCCAGGGAGGTGGGCAGGGAGGGGGCACAGGGTGGGCAGCCAAGCTCCTCTTGGCCCCTGGAACCTACCAGGCAGCAGCTGCCCCGTCACTCTGAGTGACCTGGCTCAGGTCTCCCATGTGCGCAGGACCCACTGGGAACCTGGGACGGGGTGGGAGGGTTCAACTCAACTCCTCTGGAGCACCATCCTTGTAACCCTGGGCTGTGACATCCCTCAGTTTCTCTACCATTAAATGGGAAGAATGGTCTATCTGGTGAGGCTGTGGCGAGAGAGAGTGGTGAGTGGCTGAGTTTGAGAGGGCAGTGGGTTCATGGTGAAGAAGTGGAAAATGGGGACTCTCATCTCTTACCCACTTGTTTTTACACACAACCCCAACCCACACTTTCCCTCCAGGCTCTGCTGTGACTGGTTGGTTGATGAAGGACATAGTCACTGATCAGTGTCAGCCAGGGGGAGACTTCAGTCTGGAGGTGGGGCTCAATCAGAAAGTTTGGGGGCTCCAGGAATTTGGGTTCTTGAGTGCAGGAGGTGCATAAGCCAAGAGTTGCTTTAGGAACCTGCCACTGGAGCCGCCTGCAGGGAATGCGAGTGAAGGGGACCTTGGGCTGCAAAGGGGACCTCAGGCTGCTGCAAAGCCCAAGCACTAGTCCTCACTGAAATACCCACGAACTCTGCGTGGTGCACTCCCCACACCTGTGCTCACCAAGCCTCTGCTCATCCTAAACCTAAGCCCAGAGGGGCATGCAGGGCAGGAGCCCCCACTCATTCGAGCGAAGGAAGTGACCGTCAGCAAAGTGACAGCACTGGCCTCGGGCGCTGGAAGCATCGGGCCTTGAACCTCCCACTGTGTTTCCGCCTCCTTCGGGAAGGGGGTTGGGGTGCTTCCGAGGCTCCTGGTCTGTGCTTTCTCTGAGAGGGAGGCCCCTGGAGGAGATACAGTTTTTGGGGGAAATGAGTAGTTCAATTTGGGACATAGTGACTCAGAGAGGCACGGATGGGGCATGAGGAGACCCAGAGTAGGAAAGAACCATGGCCATGAGGTGCTGCTCAGTCTTCCAGCTCCAAATTCTGGACAGTCCTGTGCCTGGAGGACAGGGCAGGGGAGAAAGCCAGGCCCTGGGTCCGCACCCTCATCCCATGGTTCAGTGGCTGGAGAGCAGCAGCAGTAACCCTTGGGATGAACTGAGGAAGGTTCCAGGCTCAGAGCCCTGGGAAGCTGAGCCTCTCTACTCCCTCCCCCCAAGGGCATCTGAGAACAGGGCCTTGAGGGCTCTCTAGGGGAGGACCGGGCAGGCAGGAACAGCTGCAGTCCAGCAGGGAGGACGGCAACCAGCTGCTGCTGGGGAGACTGGCCAGGGCAGGCGGGGCAGCACGGCCCAAGCTCCCAGCCTGAGTGGCAGAGCGTGGGAGCGGGCGGCAGCCTCGAGGTTGGGTTTTGGGCTTTCATGCTGTGTTAACTGTCAGCTTGGCTAATGCTGAGCAGATGGGGGAGGGGACTGCCAGCTCCCTTGGCAACAGCCCAGGTCACGCGTGTGCACGGGGTACAGGAGTCCTGCCCTGTGGATGGTGCTGTGTGGACTCCTCTGCCCACAGCGCCTGTTCACACCATCACATACACAAGATGGTGCCGGTGAGAAACAGACCATGACAGAGGTCCACCCGAGGCAGCTGGAGGCCCAAGGCCTGGCACAGAGGCCTGTCGATCTGTCACCTCGCAGGGCCCCCGGCTTGGGGATCCCTCCACCCTTCCCCCCCTCCATCTGGGATGCAAGGCACACATCAGGCACAATGAGATTTATTTCAAAATAATAATTTATAAAAGGCCATTTGCTTCTGTGTTTTCGGCAGGCTTCCAGCGTCAGCTAGGAGCACAGGGGCCAAGCTCCTTCCACCAAGATGCTGGGACAAGCAGCAAAGGGGAAGTGGGGGGCGACCTGAAGAAAGGGGGTTCAGAGGCCCAAGATCTCTCTTGGTGTATCAGCCAAACCCCTGAAATCAGGCTCAAGTGTCAAGGCCCAGATGCCAAGCAGAGCCCTCTATTCAGGCTATTAGAATAGAGCCCTATGTTTCAGGCTCGGGCCATGACTCCCAGGGCAAGGGCTGGGCCTTGAGACTAGGGTTGAACTCTGAGTTGGGAACCCAAGGCCAGAGCCGAAAGCCTCAACTAGGGACCCCAGGATCAAGGACAGACCTCCCCAAAGCAACACCAGAGACCTTGGACAGGACCCTGAAGTTGGACTGGGGCTGCCAAGATCAAGCACCACCAGGCTGCAACAGAGCCAGGAGGCCCAGGGCTGCTGGATGTCCTGCCTGCACAACCTCCTGCTCCTGCTCAAGTCTGCACCCCAGGACAGGGGAAGGAACTGGGCCCCAGGGGCAGGGGGTCATGGCTGAAGACAGAGTCACTGGAGGAGCAGGTGCTGCTGGCGTCCCCACCGGCTGGGGAGTAGGGTCCAAAGGTCAGGCGGAGGTCCAGGTACTGCGGGGAACAGTGCTGGTCAGCCCTGATGGTCAGCTCAGGTAAAACCCAAAGGGGAGTGGGCAGAGGGTGGTCACGGGACGGGAGAGGAGGAGTACCTCCTCAGAGATGGCCAGCAGGACCTTGTCCAGTGCCTCCACCAGCTGCTTGAAAGTGGGCCTCTGAGAGGGCGCCGCATGCCAGCACTCACGCATCAGCCCATACCTGAGAGGTGGGCAGGGTCAGAAGCACCCACAGGCCTGAGTGAAGGGAGGACCTCATGGCCCTTGTGGGTGGGCAGGGGAGGTTGGGAAGTGGGGGTCTAGTGAGGGGTGGGTGAAAGGGCACAGAAGCCAGGACCTCCCCACTGGGCCTGGGCTGAGGAGGTGGCAGTCACAGTGAGTTGGTGCTGATCCCTCCCTGGGGCCAGACCCTGAGGCCAAGTCAGAGCAGAGGGTGAGGACTGGAAAGGGGGAGAGTAGGGCATGGCCTCACAGCTCTGGAGGGCAGTTCGGGGGCCGGTCCATCCGATGCCCCTCCCGCAGCAGTGAGAACAGTTCCTCCACGGGGATGCCAGGGTATGGGGAGCCCCCAAGGGTGAAGATCTCCCACAACAGGATCCCGAATGACCACCTGGAGGCAGAACCAGGGCTCAGCAGGGCACAGCTTCGCTCCCTGCTCCTGGGGCTGGGATGGGGGGCCCCGCAGGCATAATTCACCAAGCGGGGGTGGGGATAGGAGCTTTTTTTGGAGTTTGGTTCAACTCATGTCCCTATGCGACCTTGGGCAAACGCTTTGCCTTTTCTGTGGGGTAGGACAAGAATCCTGGCAGACACTCAGGACCCCAGCATCCAGGACTCACACATCACTCTGGTGTGTGTAGACTCGGTCAAACAAGGCCTCCGGTGCCATCCACTTGACAGGCAGGCGGCCCTGGGAGGGAGAGGAGGAGGTGTTGGTGCCAGTCCCACAGGTCCTGCCCCCAACCCCAGCTCTGCCCTTGCCCTCCTCACGTTGCTGGTTTTCTTGTAGTAGTCAATGTGGTGGACGCCTCGGGCCAGTCCAAAGTCAGCGATCTTCATCACATTGTCCTCTGTCACCAGCACGTTACGGGCAGCCAGGTCTCGGTGGATGCACTGGGGACAGGGCAGGGGACTTAGGCTTATTAGGACACATAGCATCTCACGGTAACCTTGGTGGGTAGGATCATCACCCATTTTACAGATGAGGAAGTCAGGATGCAGAGGGCAGACCCGAGCAGTCCAACTTCAGGGCCCTCTCGTTCTCTCCTGTGGCCTCTTTCCCCGCCCTGGCTACGGTTAGGGAGGATGTGAGGACAGAATGGGACAGGCACTGAAATCTACATACGGAAGGACTTAGGGTAACGAGAAAGGGGAGAGAGGGAGAAGTTGGAGACATTGAATGCCAGGGTCATAAAGATATGGAGATGGAGCAGTCGGCGGTGGCCCGGAGTGCCGCTACTGCCCTCACCTTTCGAGACTCCAGGTACTGCATGCCTCGGGCCACCTGGTAGGCACAGGAGACCAGGGCAGGGAAGGAGAGCGGCCCCTCACTGCTCCGAGGCCCATCGGGGCTGAGGTCGGGGCCCGGGGGGCGCCGGGCCCGCAGGAACTCCCGCAGGTTTCCCTTGGCAGCACACTCCACAATCACGTACAGGGGGCCTGCAAAGGCGAGGGTGACCGGGAGGCTGCTGAGGCGGTGCTCCCGCCACAACCACCCCCGCCCGGGCCCACCTCACCCCACCTTCTTGGGTGCAGACACCCAGCAGGTTAATAATATTTTTGTGTTGACCGATCAGCTTCATCACTTCCATCTCAGAGACCAGATCTGCCAAGTCCTTGTCAGAGGCGTTGTCTGCAAGGGCGACAGCCAGGGTGACTACACAGGGCAGGCTGTAGGGTGGGGGAGAGGACATGAAGCGCTGGACCAGGAGTGAAGAAGGTCTGGGACTGAGTCCCTACTAGGCTGTATAGCCTTGATAAAGTCACCTAACCTCTCTGAACCCCGGGATCCTCTTGTATGAGATGGGATACCGCATCATGCCCTACCTCTCAGAGCGGTTGTGAGGATGCAACAAGAATCAAGGATCTAAAAGAAGTAGGCCTGCCGGTGAGGGGCCAGGAAACAGGAGAGGGGGAAGAGCTCTGAACAGGAAGGAAGCTTGTCTGCAGGGCTTGGCATTAGTCCCTGAATGGGGTGAGAGCTCCTGGGGGCGGAAAGCAGGCTGGCGCCCTGAGGTCTGTCTGACCAGGGCCTGGCGTCCATCTGGCCTGGGAATTCAGGGAGCTGCCAGTGGGGCACAGCTAGGGGAGGCCTGGAAGAAGGCTGTGGAGCAGGGGCGGGCCCTCAGGGCTGACCCGTGGCCCTGGGCCAATGACATACCCTCCCCACCAGACCTCGCAATGCACATTTCTCAATCTCTGCCTCCGGGAAAGTGCCAGGTGGCCCCAGCTGTGCAGAGAGGAGCTGGGGGTAAGGGGGCGGAGAACAGAACAGTGGTTTGGGCCACTCTGGTAGAGGGGCCTGGGAGATAGCAGTGAGAGGCCCCTGTGGGAGATTTCAGGAGTGGCCTAGGCACCTTGAGGCTCCTGCTTGGAGGCTGGGACTGAATTTGAGCAGAAAGGCTGTGCTCAAGTGGTAGAAACAACAGGACAGACCTGGGAAGGGCCCTGGGGGAGGCCGAGGGTGTGGCTTGAGGGGAATGAGGTGGTGTCCTACACAGCTGACAAGGTTACTTGAGGCCAAAGCTTACATAGGGTCAGGGCAGACAGGGGACAGTAAACGGCAGTTACCCCAAATCCTTATAGTCACCATCATCCCAAAGGGTAAGATTTTATGCATCAGGAATTTTTATGAACCTAGGGCCCTGAGGTAGGGACATGTGAGGAAACTGAGGCTGAGAAGTGACTTGTCAGAGTCAGTAGCAGCGTTGGGCCTCAGGCCCAAGGGTGGGATCCGACAGCCTCTCCTGGCCCCCAGTGCTCACCTGATAGCACTATGAGCTCCTTCCGTTAGTCCCAAGGCCACAGTACCTCCCCCAGGCCGCCACACTCACCCTTGAGCATCTTGACGGCCACGGTGCTGGCTTGGTCAGGCTGGGCCGGGTCCATGCCTAAGGCCTCTGCACGCACCACCTGCCCAAAGCAGCCCTCGCCCAGGGGCTTCCCAAGCACCAGCCTAGAAATCAAGAAAGCTGAGGTCTCAACCGTCTGGGCGTCCTTCCTGCCTGGAGCCTGCATCCACACCCTCACGCTGCACAGCATACCTGTCCCGGGGGAACTCCCACTGCGGGTCCAGCGGGAGGTCTAGGCTCACGAGGCCAGCAAGCAAGGGGGGGCCGCTGGAGGAAAGACGGACGCCCCGCACCAGGGACAAGCTTGACTTGGCTGAGGAGCCTGACTCCAGGGAGAACTGCAAAGTGGGAGACTTGGTTGGTCGGCTGGCACTGAGCCGAGGTGGGATGGCAGGCCAGAGCCTCACTGTGGGACACGGGGGCGGGGATGTGTAGTACCTGTCGGGCCAGAGGGAAGCGGGACAGCTTCTGCACCGTGGCGGGCTGCCGGGAGTGCCGACCGTGCAGCACCTGTCGGCGATACAGGCCGGCCAGCAGCAGGAGCACCACTAACACCAGAGAGCCCGACGCGTACAGGATGATGTCTGTGTACCTGGCATCGGGCGCTGTTGCTGTCCATGTGAGGTCCTCCTCTGTCCACAGACACATAACTGACCAGTCAGTGGTCAGATGGCTGGCCCTATACCCTCTAACTCAGGCCCTCACAGCTCCCGCCACACATGGATGCACACACCAAGAAAACTGTAATTATACTCAGTCCCACATAGTCCTGGGTCCCACCGACAGTCACATGTCGACATGCAGAGGGTCTGCTACATGCAGAATCCAACACAAAACCACACGCCATGTCCAGAGCTTAGATCCCACAGGCCAAGGGGTAGTGTCCACCCTCAGGTCACAGCCCACTGCTGGATCAGAGTCGGACCCTGAAGCCTCTCCTGGCCACCTCAGGAGCTCACCTGGCAGCACAGTGAGCCAGGCCGACTGGTAGGAGAGGCCAATGGAGTTGCCTGCCAGACAGGTGTACTCGCCTGCGTCCTCGGCCGACACGTTACGAAGATATAGGACCTCCACCTCTGAGCTATTGATGTCTGTTGTCTGGGGATGGGAGACACATTCAGGGGTCACAGCAGGGCCCGGGGTCAGGAAGGGAGCTGGTAATCACCCTCCCCACCATGGGAGAAGGGTAGGGAGGGCTCAGGCACCGCAGGGGCTGGACCTTTAAGACTTGCACATAAGGGAAGCCGTCGGCACCGAAGTTGCTGCCGTTGATGACAATGTGCTTCAGCCACTGGATGTGAGGCTGGGCGTCACTGTACACCTTGCATAGCAGCTCCACGTCACTGCCCACTACCGCTGTGGTATTGGCCGGGAGCCCTGCCTGCAGGATGGGCCGGTGCGGGGACCGCTCTGGGGGCCGGGCCGGGCCGTCAACCCTGACCAGCGGCACCCACAGAAGCACCCTGGTCACCTGCCTCCAACTTCCCCAGCTCAAGGGAGAGACCTTCCTGATATGCAGCGCAGACCTTGTCTGTCTTCTGCTTACCCCGCTTAAACCTTCCATGGCTCCCCATTGCCTTTGGGGTCCAGGACAATTTCTCAGCTTCCCATTCAGAACCCTTCATGGCCTGGCTCCCCATGGAAATGCCACACCCCAGGCATACATCTCCCCACAAATGCATTATAGTCTTTACACTGAAGGCCTTTACTGAACCCGTGCCCTCTGCCTCAATGTCTTCCCTACTTTTCTTCTTGGCTAATCTCTGCTCCTCCGGGCCCACGTTACCCTCTGTGCACCCCCTCACGTCCACCAGCACACTTGAAACAAGTTTGAGTGACTCATCTAAGACTCAGTCCATGTTGCCTGCCAGACTGGGCTCTAACTGAGGGCAAATTCTGGGCTTCCACCCCCACACTGCCTCGCTTGCCCCTCCGCTCACCCAGCACGTCCAGCAGATAGCTGTAGCGGATGCTGCCCACCGGATTCTCCACAAGGCAGGTGTATGTGCCACGATCTGAGGGCACCACGCTTTCCATCACCAGGCTCCAGTGCTGATGGCGCAGCTGGGGGGAGGGGAAGTGTCCACGAGGGGCCACTAACCCATGCCCCTGAGGGGAGTAGGGCGGGAGAGAGGGAGAGGGCAAGGCCAGGGACTTTGGGACAAAGGAGAAGACTCCAAGAAATGTCTGAGCCCTGAGTTTTAGGTTGGCCTCTTCCCAGCTGTGCCACCTTTGCCAGTCTTTGTCCTCTGAGCCTCAGTTTCCTCATTACAGCCTGGAACTGACCTTACAGGGTCTGACCATGAGAATGAGCTGCCCAAACTTACGGATGCTGGTCAGGGATCCTTCCTCCTTTAGAAATGGAGTCGCTCGAGAAGCTAAGTCACTTGCCAGAGAGTGGCAGAGTGGGAACTTGAACCAGAGCTGTCCAAGTCCACAGCCTAGTGCTTCTTCTGGGGCCACACAGTGGCCTTCTTTATTCAAGAAGGAACTGGGGGGTTGGTTTATAGGTATGAGGGGGCCGGTGGGGGAGCAGGTGGCCTTGGAACCCAGAGACTCACCCGAACGCCTCCAATGCGATGCTCCCCATGAAAGTCCTGTCCATCTTTGAGCCAGCGGATGGTGGGCGTGGGGTTTCCTGCCGCTGGACAGCGGAACTTGACGGTGTTCCCAGCAGGCACTGCATGCAGTTTCTTCTCCATGCGCTGGGGGTGTGTCCAGTAGGGTGCTGGAGGGGAAGGAAGAACTTAGTGCCCCCAGGGTGACTACCTGCTTCAACACAGGTCTCTTCTCAGGGAGCAGCTGGGAGGTAGGGAAATGAGTCCTTGAGGACTTATACTGACCATGCTGTGGGTAAACATGCCTAGTTGAAGGGCCATTGTGTTCCTCATCACCATTGCTGGAGGTCGAGGAGTCTATGTCAGGGATAGAGGGAGATATATGAGGCCAGGACAGGAGACTCTCTCCCTAGGCACCCCTCAGCCCCTGCCAGACGCCCTTACCATCCATAACCAAGGTGACATTGTGCAGGACAAACATGGAGCCTCGTGCTAGGCAGAGGTAGTGCCCAACATCCTCGGGTAGGAAGCTGGCGATCTCCAAGCGGCCCCTCCAGCCTCGTACCCGGCCAGCAGGTGCCAGGCGACTGCCCTCTTTGTACCAGTGGCCACCACGCTCAGCCTTCCCACAGCATAACTGCACAGGCTGCCCAAGGACCACCGTCAGCTCCTGTTCTGGCTGCTCCGGGCTGGGGGCCAGGCAGGGCTCTGTGGGCCAAGGGCAGAGGTCAATGAGCCTCACAGCCCCAGTTGAGGCAGCCCCCACATAGAGAGAACATGCTGCACATGCAGGGCACGAGCACCTCAACATATGCACAACCACATGCTCTAGATGCTACATGCAGAGGTAAGGCCATGCCTCTGATGCACATCACACACACACACGGTGAGTAGCACACCTGCTGGGCTGAACATGACACTGTCCAACACACACACGCGCGCGCACACACACACACACACACGCACGCGCGCACACAAGGCGCATGCTACAGGACACACATCACACCACTCCAAGGCATAATACCCTCCCAGTGCATACACCACACGTGAGGCCTGGGCCTCCCAAGCCACACACACACTGCACAGAACACACACACACACACATCCAAGGGGCTCACCACCAGCTCTGCAGCCCAGCTCAGGGCCCTGGGCCCTGCAAGGCCAGTCCTCTTTCGTGGACACAGAGATAGGTGGATGCTTTCTGGGAGCCAGACACTGAGTCTCAATGGTTGCCACCTGCTGCCACCTCCCCAGGGCCTGGGCCAGGATTCTCTCCAGCTTTGCTCAGCCCCCACTTGGTGCCAACTCTTCCCACCCCTGCCACTCTCTCCCACCTTAGAGGTCATACCCAACTCCATTTCCTCAGAGGTCTCAAAGGACAAAGCTGGAGTCCAGGGTGCTCCCAGGAGGACCCCCAACAGGACCAGCAGCAATTGCATCTTCTTCCTGTTGCTCATGGGGTCCAGGCTGGGCTTTCCACTGATGGCCTTCCTGAAACAGGGAGGGAGAAGAGTTCCTGCTTCATGTGCACCTTGGCTGGTGCTATTCCCTTATTTTTCAGATGAGGAAACTGAGACAGGAAATGGCTGGCCACTTCCAAACCCTCCCACCGCCAGGCAGCAGCAGGGCAGACTGGAAGCTGGTCCGCTGTTGCAGAGCCCAAGGCTGCCGCACAGTAGGTTGTGCAAGGGGGGCTGGGGGTGGGCGGGGCTTCCTGCTCTGCACTGGTCCTGCTGAGACCTTGGCACGAGTTCACAGCAAGGGCAGTTTTGGGATTCTTTCCTTGGAGGCAAGCAGAGAATGGAAACATATCTTCTGCTCACTCTTAGCACACATGATTTATTTTTTGCTGAATAAATGCATTTATTTCTGAAGAGCCAAAAAAACAAAATCTGAAATATAATACAAGTCCAAACTTCAGCATCTGGATGCTATCTGATCTGATCCCCACTCCTTATTAGCATTGCTGACATTTCCACGACCAGCTTTGGATACCTCCAGTAGCAGGGCGCTTACCACTAACAAGGCAGCACACTCCATGGCCAGCAGTTCTTCCTTCTTCTGAACCAGAACTGCACCCTGGGAATATCTCTGCTTTTTGTGTCCCCACAATTCCACCTGAGACAATGCAGGCTCTGGTAAAGAATGCAGACTCTGGTGTCTGACAGAGCCAAGCTCAAACCCTAGCTCTTACCAGCTTGCTTGTCCCTGGCCATGTCTGGGTCGCTGGCCCCACAGGACTGCTTTGAGGATAAAAGAGAATGTACGTAGCCCTGACCGGTTTGGCTCGGTGGATAGAGCGTTGGCCTGCGGACTGAAGGGTCCCAGGTTCGATTCTGGTCAAGGGCATGTACCTTGGTTGCGGGCACATCCCCAGTAGGGGGTGTGCAGGAGGCAGCTGGTCGATGTTTCTAACTCTCTATCCCTCTCCCTTCCTCTCTATAAAAAAAAATCAATAAAATATATTTTTCTTAAAAAGAGAGAATATGTGTAGGGGCTGGGTACACAGAATGTTGGAATGGTCTCCTTCCCCATCCCCTCCCTGTAATGTCGCCCAGGGTCTGCCCTCCAACAGTCACCCCAGGTCCTGTCAGGTGTGATGCACACACCCACCCCATCTGATTATCCTCTTCCAAATGCCGCCAAGGATGTCTCCTTACCCTCAAAGGAGCACTCAAAACTGAGCGTCAGCTAGGGCAGGGGAAGAGGGTGACCAGTGTAGTCCCAAGGACCCACTGGCTATTACCTGGGACTGGGTGACAGTCGGGGGTACTGGTGTCTCTGGGTCTACCTTGCCCAGGAAGCCCACCGCACCCCCTCTCTTCAGCCACAGCTCCCTGTCCAGCTCTGGCTCTGAGGCAGGGGGCACTTGGCTTGTCCTGGGCAAAGCCATTATTTCCCTCTTCCCTGGGTTGCCCCTGCAGCTGGAGCATCAGCTCTGTTCATCTCCTCACCTCACCCCTGCCCCACTGCCAGTCCATTCTGCCTTCTCAATCCCTCTCCAGTCTATCTCACCTCCGCTTCCTGGACTCAGGGCAGGCCATAGTCATCTGCAGCATGGGCCTTTGCAAACATCTCCCTGGGCTCTGCAGCCTCCATTCTCCAGCAGGCTTTAAAAATTACAAGGCTGCCATGTCAACCCCCTCCCCACCAGCTTACAAGTTCTTAATGGCTGCCTGTGCCAGCGGGATCCAGTCCACACTGTACAGCATCCTAGGCCTCCCTCCCAGCCTGGGCCACTCAGGTTGCACAGTCTGCCCCTTCAGTACCTTCAGCACTGAAGCCACTGGCTTTCAAAACTGGGCACATCTTGTCTCTTGACCTCTGTGTCCCATTTCTCTTCTCCACCTGGCTCAGATGCCACTCTCTCTGCGCCCACCCCGCTTCCTGCCCCTCCTGGTGAAATCCCCAGGAGGATTTCTGTAGGGAGCTCAGCTCTCTGGGTTCACAGCTCCGGTTGGGGGCGTTATATTTTCACCTTCAGGCTACTCTGTCCTCATCACCCCAGGGTCCTTAGCAAGGCCACCAGCGGACAGGGGACCGCAGTGCCTGACTCTGGCACCAGGTTATCCAGAGTTCGCTTCCAACCTCCCGCACTCAAGCGCTGGGGGACCCTGGGCATATGACTGCACCTCTTCGAGCCTCAGCTTTCTCATCTCCACTTGGGGCGCACAGACACTCCAGCAGCTGAGGATCAGCGAGCTCTTCCACCTTCACCCCTACTCCGCCACCCTGGGGGGAGGTGCAAGTCGGCGGGTCCCCAGGAGGAGGAGCAGAGACAGCCTGTCCGCCCCCGCCCGAGTGGGCAATGAGTAACCAGCTCCGCGGCCAGGGTGCTCTTTGGACGGAGCGGGACAAAAGGCCCTGTGTGCACTGCGGGTTACTGATTTACCGCCCCCCTCCACCCACCCTGCCGAGCGGACGCCAGGGTCCCCATTGCAGGGATGGGGCAGCTCCCGGAGCCCCATCGCCGCTCGCCCCCTGGCGGCTGGGAGCGCAGCCAGGGTCCGCATGGGTCCCGGGACACCTGGAACCTCCACGGGACAGCTCCCGGCACAGGGTCCTGGCTCACCTGGGTCTTCTGTGTCCCTGGTCCTAGCGCTCCTGCCAGGCCGATCCCCTAGCCCAGCGGGGACCGGGGACTCAGCCAGGGCGCTCCTCCGCCTGGGGCCGGAGAGCTGGGAATGCGCCGCCGAAGCCGCGTGGAGCCGGGCGGCCCAGCGCCCCGCCCACCTCGGGCCCGGCCCCTCCTGGACCTGCTGTCCTGACAGCCGCGTGGCTGCGAGTGGCGCAGAATCCCACCCACCTGGAGACCAGTTCTGAACCCATAGCGCTGAGCGACCGACGGGTCAGCCTAATCCCAAAGGCCCCGCCCAGCCTGCAGCACACCCCCTCAGACTCCGCCTCTTTTGCCCCATTCAGGCCAGACTTCTAAGTTCCAGTCTAGTCCTTGCTCTCCATCTCCTGCTCGACACCCTTCCGGAACAAGACCCTGCAGTTCTCACCCGCTCGCCTCTGCAGACCTTGGCCCAGCCTGGCTCCTCTGTCTTCTGCGTAGTTGCCATGTGGTGCCTAGCACACTGCCTCTGCCCCCATCCCCAACCAGTCTCTGCACAACCTTCCGGGTGATAGCAAAATACACTCTGATTCCGTATGTATTTTGTGGTTGACTGTGCCAATCACAACCACCCCTTTCAAAGTTTCCAATAGCTTCCTTTAAAGATGCTAGGCAGGACCTGCCCCTGGGCGCACCCTCCTTTTGCACTTGTGGTTCCCGCTTCCAGGAAAGATATTTTTCTCTCTAGGTCTGGCTAGTTCCATCTCATTCTTAGGTCTCAGCTCCCTTCCTCAGAAGAAGCCCTTTGGACTCACCAGGTTCCTCTTCAGGTCTTCTGTTCTTTGAGCACGGAGAAAGAAACTGAGTGTGGGGTGGGTGTGGGCGGGGAGGTGGTGGTCGTGGTGAAGTGATTCCGAGTACAGGTTGCAGGGCTCAATCTCATCACACATGGCTCTGGCAAGTTACTCCATCTGTATCTTCATTTTCTCCTCAGCAAAACAGGTATAATGATAATGTATCATCTCTAAGAAGTGGTTGCAAAAAGTAGACATGCTGGTATGTGTAAGCCTCAGAACACTGCTTGACATAGAGCACTTGCTTTGTAATGCTAGCTATGATTTTTTAGGACCTGCTATATTTTTCTTAATATATATGCGTGTGTGAGAGGAAGGGAGAGGGAGAGAGAGAGATAGAAACATTAATGATGAGAGAGAAACATTTATAGGTTGCCTCCTGCACGCCCCCTACTGGGGATCGAGCCAGCAACCCTTGCCTGTGTGTGCTCTTTGACTGGAATCAAACCCGGGACTCTTCAGTCCGCAGGCCCATCGCTCTATCTACTGAGCCAAACCAACCAGGGTTTCTTAATATCTTTAAAAAATCTTTTTAAAAAATTGATGTGAGAGAGAGACATCCATTTGTTGTTCCACTTATTTATGCATTCATTGGTTGATTTTTGTTGTTGTTGTTAATCCTCACCTGAGAATATTTTTCCCATTTATTTTTAGTTTTTTATAATAGAAATTAATATTTATTACAGATCCTCTATTATTAAAAGTATTACATATGTCCCCTTTTTTCCCCATTGACCCCTTCTAGTTCCCACCCCCTCCCTATGCCCACCCTCCCAATAGGCCTTCACCACACTATTGTCTGTGTCTATGGGTTATGCATATATGCATGTAAGTTTTTTGGTTGATCTCTTCCCACCCACTCACTACACAGAACACACCTTCCCTCTGAGATTCCACAGTCTGTTCTATTGCCCCTGACCGGAATCGAACCCGGGACCCTTCAGTCCGCAGGCCGACGCTCTCTCCACTGAGCCAAAGCGGTTTCGGTGCTACTTCTTTTTTTATTGCTGCAAAGTATTACATGGTGTAAATGTACCATATCTTTTTTTTTAAAATATATTTTATTGAGTTTTTACAGAGAGGAAAGGAGAGAGATAGAGAGTTAGAAACATCGATGAGAGAGAAACATCGACCAGCTGCCTCTTGCACACTCCCCACTGGGGATGTGCCCGCAACCAAGGTACATGCCCCTGACCGGAATACCATATCTTTTTTTATCCACTCATCTACTGATTGGCACTTGGGCTGTTTCCACTGAGCCAAACCTGCTAGGGCTCTAAATCTTAGCTACTATAAATTGTGCTGCTATGAACCTAGGACTGGGGATTGAATTGGCAACCTAGGTATGTGCCCTGATCAGGAATTGAACAGGCAATATTTCGGTGAATGGGACAACATTTAGCTGAGCCTCCTGGCCAGGAAAAAAAATTTAAATCTTTCAATTATTATTGACTTCACCACTATATCTCAAGAGCCGGGCTAGTAGGTGCCCTCCAAATAGCTCTGCCTCACTTGCAAGTACTTTTCTCCTGAGCATCTTGACAGTGGCCAAATAGGAGGTCAGCCGAACTTTGATCTCTGCCCAACACTCATCTGAGGTCCAAGCCCTTTACTCCTTGAAGGCTCCTGGAGAAGAAAGGGAACCCCTCAACCAGGGTCTTAGCTTACCTCCCAGTGGAGACATTGGCCATCGGAAAGCAGCTTCCATTTCCATTGTTATGTCAAGGAGCCTAGTCTCTCACCCTTACTTCGGAAGAGGGTATGGGGGAGGAGGATGGAGGCTTCCGTTGCATAATTAAAAGGCCCATTAAAGTGAGAATGGCTGTGATGAGTTTAAAGAAAGCCTTGAAAAAGAGTTAGAAGAAAATGACTCTGAAATATCACAATTTGACGATGATAGTTCTGAAAAAGTTATTGATGAGGAAGGCTCTGAGAGCGTTTGACAAGGAAGAATTAGATGAAAAGGAAGAAGAAGATGCATATAAAAAAACTTTTGATGATGAGTCTGATGAAAAAGAGGGTGAAGAAGATGCAGATGAAAATAGGCTTGAAGATGCTGATAAAAGGAGGAAGAAGATGATGCAGATGAAAAGATGTTTGAATATTTAGACGAAACTAAAGATGAAGTAGATGCAAAGGACGATGAAGAAGGTATAGATGAAAACATGTTAGAAAATGAGGATTCCTGTGAGAAGTTTGATGATTCTGATGAGAAAGGGACTGTGGGCCGTATGGGGGGAATGGAATGTTCCGGAAGAAAGAGCCCTATCTACATGCAGCAGCTTTATCCTCAGGAGTGATGATGGTGATGATATTTAATCCCTTAAGTTTGCTTTTGAGGGAAAGTCCTCCGTCTACGTTTTGCCTGTGCTCCAGGACAATTACTAGTAGCGTTAATAAACACTGCATAGTGATAGGATGTCATCAGATTAATGGATTGCCTTTTTCATTGTTACCTGTACTTAATGATCATAAATATATGTTAATTGGCTGTTCAGTTAAAACTTCAGAGTATAATGCAAGTAAACTGGATACTCGTCCTTTGTCAGATTTGTTAAATGGATGTAGAATATTTTTTTAAAATATTCTGATTGAAGTCTGTGATATTAAAAAATAAAAATAAGTTGTTAATATGCAGAAACTGAAAATTGGACTTGAGTTAAATTGCATTTTAAGTTCTTGCTATTGCTTTATTTATACTTAAGTTTTTAGTTTTTTAAGGATTTGAAAAATCTGATAAGAGTCTCCTTGCTTCCAGTTTATATTACCACTTAGGTCCCTGTTTCTCTTCTCTAAACCAGAACATGTTACTCAACTTATAAGGTAAACAGTACTTTGGAGTTTCCCCCTGCCCAGTCCTTGCAAGTTACTTTTATTTGTTTTCCTTTCTACCCTTTTTCCATGACAATTGCAGGAGTGAACTTCCTGAGATCCATCCACAGCTTTCTTTACTGAAAACATAGGGAAGGGGATTAGAATTCTACTCTGGACTGTTTGGCCCCTTTAGAAGTTGATTGGAGTTGTGGGACCTCTCCCCAGAAAAGTGCACACACTACACAACTTTTTGTATACAGTTTTGGGAGGTTCATTGATCCCCTGGAGTTTAAGAATGTCTGTCATCGTTCATACTTCAATTTTGTGTGTTTTTTGTTGTTGTTCTAGTATGGTGCCTAGTACTGTGCTAAATTGTGTAGTCCCAGTAAAATGTTGGGTCTTCTTGCTTATGCTTTCCAAATTAAGTATTGATGAGTGTAGCATTAAGAAGTTATTCTCATAAATTAGAAGCATTGAAATAAACTGCATTGATGTTTTTTGATTAAAAAAATGAAGTGATTTGTTTCTTTTATTTTTCTTTTCCTTGTCAAACAAAAGAATGATCTTCTCCCAATGATAAATCAGAAGAGAATTGGTTATCTTTTAAAAACAGCTTGTCCTGCCGAAACTGGTTTGGCTCAGTGGATAGAGCGTCGGCGTGCGGACTGAAAGGTCCCAGGTTCGATTCCGGTCAAGGGCATGTACCTGGGTTGCGCACACTTCCCCAGTGGGGGATGTGCAGGAGGCAGCTGATGGATGTTTCTCTCTCATCGATGTTTCTAACTCTCTATCTCTCTCCCTTCCTCTCTGTAAAAAATCAATGAAATATATATTTTTTTAAAAAAGACCCCAAATAGCCACAGCAATCCTGAGAAAGAAGAACAAAGTTAGAGGGATCACAATACCAGATATCAAGCTATATTACAAAGCCACAGTTCTCAAAACTGTCTGGTCCTGGCAAAAGAACAGACATATAGAGCAGAGAACAGAACAGAGAACCCAGAAATAGCCCCAAGCCATTATGCTCAGTTAACATTTGACAAAGGAGGCAAAAGCATACAATGGAGTCAAGACAGTCTCTTCAATAAATGGTGTTGGGAAAATTGGACAGATGCATGCAAAAAAAATGAAACTAGACCACCAACTTACACCATACACAAAAATAAAACTCGAAATAGATAAAGGACTTAAACGTGAGATGGGAAACTATAAAAATCTTAGAAGAATCCATAGGCAGCAAAATAGCAGACATATGTCATAGCAATATCTTTACTGATACAGCTCCTAGGACAATGGAAACTAAGGAGAAAATAAACAGATGGCACTATATCAAAATAAAAAGCTTAACAAGAAAGCCCACTGCATGGGAGAACATATTTGCCAATGTTATCTCCAATAAGGGTTTAATCTCCAAAATTTACAGGGAACTCATACAACTTAACAAAAGGAAGATAAACAATCCAATAAAAAAATGGGCAAAGGACCTAAGTAGACACTTTTGAAAGAGGACATACAGAAAGCCAAGAGACATATGAAAACATGCTCAAAGTCACTAATCATCCAAGAGATGCAAATAAAAATGACAATTAGGAACCAACTCTCACCTGTCAGAATAGCTAT